GGTTTTTAAATTTCCTTGGGGGGGGGGGGAGGGCCTAGGAAAAGTGAGACCCGGGGCAACAGCCCCTTTTGCCCTCCACCCTCCCCCCAAAATCCGGCCCTGACCGGATCATTTATCCGAAGGCATGAGTCCATTCGCAAAGTAGCTTCCGGTGTCCTCTTTTTTAAAGATAATAGTGTTAGACCCTTTTTTGTTATTTTTGCTTGTAACTTGTTCGTAAAGGTGGCTCTTCCCGCGCTCATAAACGATGACATTGCTCGGTATGGAACAGTCTCCTCTGCATTCGCTCTGGAAAGAACTCCAGAATGGAATTCCCGATTCGACTCCGTTGGGCCTTCATTACGATGGGCATATGATAGTTAACTTGCAAATTTTATATGCATACCCTGAGATGGATGTTTTCTATCTAATGGTTCTATATTTGCAGATAAATATAAGCTCTCGCCCACAAGTGGCGAGGTGACACCGTCGGCAAGGGCAACACTGCCTCAGTAGGGGACAGGAGGAGGAGAAACATGGAGGATCCCATGAAAAGCAAGCTGGACCCTGCTCATTCTATGCCATTCACAGTCCAATTGACTCGCGGGGATTCTCCAAGCCTAGGTTTCTCTGTTCTCGGAGGAGCCGGCTCTGAATTACCACCTGTCATCTACGAAATACTCGAAAACACTCCTGCCTCCAATTGCCACCAGGTCTGTCGCCCACATTAGGCTATGATGATTATTGAACTTAATTGGAACAAAGCGAGCCACAAGTGATAGTCGTTACGTACCCGTGACAACGGAAGTGTTATAACCTTTGGCATAGACTAAAAGAGTGTCATACATTTTCTTATCGTGTGGCTTTAACTATTCTTTGTAGCTGCAAGCTGGAGATGTCATCGAGGCTGTGAATGACCGGGAAGTCATTAAATGCACGACAAAAGAGGGTAAGAGACCCAACAATTGCATGTTCAGCTTGATAGTCGTGCCCAGGCCTAACATTAAGTCTGAGCACCATGCACCCGTGGTGGTTTGAATACTCCAAGTCTCATGACAAGTTCTAGTTCTGAATATGAACCAGCTGCAGAATCTCCCCCCCCCCCCCTTTATCTCTCTTTCCATCTCTCTTTCTTGACTGGACTGAATGTGACTGATTGTGACACTAGTAACATGTGATAGGATGTCTCTCTTAAGAATGGCTCACTTTATATGCTTTGAGAAAGGATATATTCCCCTTGTTGACATGGTTGATCTGTGAATAATGAAACCAATTAACTTAATAAAATCACATCAGCTAAGAAATATGTAGCATAAAAGGCAGCATTTTGTATGAAGGCATTTCTGATCTGTTAGGGCATCTCTATTAGCTAGTTCTTGCCTTTTAATTTTCATTTGAATGGTTGATTACACTGTTACAAATACCTTAAAATTTGTATGTTGGTTCATCTTTTTGTTTGGTTTGATCTGTGTTTCCTTCTAAAGCCTATTTAAAGGATTACCCAGAGCTTATATTTCTAATAAATTTGTCATACAGTATGCAGATATGAAAGGATAAGGTCTAGTAGATTTAGTGACATTCCAGTAAAAGTTTTCTGTAGTTGTTGCTTGTCCTCACCTTTATGTTCCAGTGCATCTAGGCTTCTATGCATAGAGACTATATATAAAATTAGACAAGCAGCACTGATGAACACTTCTACCTCTAAATGGCTGTTGTTTTTCTCCAGTGTTGAAATGTCTTCGGCTGTCTGCAGACCCTGTGACCCTGCACTTGAGAAGAGGTTTGTTGAAACTTTTGAATTCGTTTTCATGGTTATGGCTCATGAAATCCATTTTTTAAATGTAATACCTCAATCTTCTGACATGCTGCCCTTATCCCCCTTATATTCTTGTAGTACATATTAACAACAATGGCATACTGTGTTTTTTTATGAACCTTACAAAATATAACTTGGTTCAGATATCCCAAAGTTTATTTCCATGCAAAGGCCTACTATTACACTTAAAAATCAGTTTCAGTCATAGTAGTTGACAAAGGCCTCATGATGAATTAAAAGCTTGCAGTATCAAAGAAGATATTTGAAGAGTACAGAAGGCATAGCATGTGTAGACCAGGAGGTGAGTAGTCATCTTCTGAACCAGTTATTATACATTGGAAACCCTGTGATTGCCTTTCTTGTATCTGACTCTGCTGTCATTCTCTCTGAGATTCTTTATATTCACTCTTGAAAAGTAATAGTTTCTCCTTTGCAGAACCCCCCTCCCCCCCACCCATTAATGATATAGTTTATCTTCACCTTCACACTCCTTTCTCCACATTGAATGTACTTTTTAAGAGTTCCTTTTCTTCATTTGCTGAGTGGTTTCTGTGCTTCAATAAGATGCCTGGTAGCATTACTTACTGTAGTACCCCATGAGATGTAGGTGAATGTGCAATTTACAGATTTTGCTTCACTGAGAAGATGCACTATGATCAGATCCACTGATTTTCATGAATTTTCTGGTGTTTGCTTGCTTCCAGATCCCCAAGTGAAAGATCAAGTAGCAAAGTACTTGAATTCCACTCCAGATTTGGACTCTCATCGGAATGCAATATCTCGGAAAGACCTGCGAGGGGTTAGGGAGATCATTGCTCGTCGTCAAGTAGAAGTCATGGCCAATGGAACTGACAGTGCCATCAAGCCTCATACCAATGGTGATACTATTGCAACAGAAGATGATGGGCCCCAACAGCCAAAGTTTGAAGCATTCATGATGACTGGTGATAAGATTCTGAATTTGTCTAAAGTGTCAAGTGGAGAGTTGGTGAGTCGACCACGTGGGAGTCGTCTCCCAGTTCGTAGTGGACGATATCGCTCTCCATATACCCCACCTGCGACTCATCAGGATCATAGTGCCAAGCATTCTCCATTGGTATCCAATGGAGATGTGAGCCCAAGCCCATTGCGTATGTCAAAATCAGATGATCGAGTGAATGCAAGTGGAGTGAGTAGTCCAGATACTGAGACAGAAGAAGATCGCCAGTCTCTCCTGAATCAGTATACAAGCTATGACACTTCCTCACCTGATCAACAGTTGAACAGCAGCTCCCTCTCCCAGTCATCAAGTGTTTCAAGCAGTCCTCAAAAGTCACCTGTCCAAGCCCATGAACTTCTGTCTGAAGATTCAGATGTTCAGCTCAATGCAGACACAGACAAGAATCTAGTCACTGTGACAGAGGATCATCGGATAGTTCTTTCTATTCGTGGCCCTGATTCTCAAAGCCCTTCAGCTTCTGCCTCGGGCAGCTCTGGACCTAGCTCACCTGATAGTAGGAAGTACAGGTATGATTGTTTCATTCTTGAAGTCTAGTGCTATGAAAGTTGAAAATTGAATTGTTGTATCATGATTCAACAGTTTGAAAGAGTGAGATCTGAAGTGATAAGAATTGGATTTTAATTAGGACTAACATGATGGAAATTTTCAAAACACTAATGCTTCAACCTAAGCTATCAATCAATCCAATTCATTGGATAATAATAATAATAATAATAATAAATAGGAAAGGATGACAGCCGTGTGTCTTGCCCCTATTAGCAATTAAATTTTAAATTTTCATTTTCTTTCTCCTGAGGATCTATGGAGAGGAATTTTTTTCTCATATGCCCTCATAACTGAAAGGAAACTGAGTTTGTTTACATTTTCAGAGAGAGTAGAACACCACATCCTCATGGCAATATTTTTTGTCTGGAAGAAGAGATGTTCACTGAGACTAGATGTAGCAGGTAGGCCAGGTATTTCCTAGCCATTCTTGCTAGTTCAGGGTATCCTATATTATTTTTTCAAAGTTCTAATGGGTTGATTTTCCCATTCCTATTGATATCTGTCTCTTGCAGACTAAGTTCATGGTTGTTGTTTGCCTATTCTCATTTGAGGCCTTCTTATTTCCTCACTTATGGTGGTTGAATGCTTGGATATCTAGGATCCTTGACCAGTTCTTTCCCCATATAACTGGAAGGTTCCAAGTGCAATGTGTGATGAAGAGAATCACTCATCAGTGGTTCAACCCATGGAATAAATATGTGGTTTGTCATTAAGTAAATCTCTTGCATGTGAGAAGACACCTTGCAAGTAATGACTAGAGGCTCCAAATCAGGTGTGTCCAAAATACAGCCTGGAGGTCAGACCTGTCTCTTATGTCTCATGCTGAAATTTAAAAAATGCGTGTGGGATAGTACCCATTGTTTCCTTTGTATCGCCTTTCTCATCTATAAGAAAATTATTATTATTATTATTGAGCTCTGACCATTATTTTTTACTATCAGTGTGGTCCACCACTCTGAAACTTTGGACACTTCTGTTCTGGGAGAATAAATCTGGCATGAGATTTTATCTGTCTGGGAGAATAAATGCTAACAATGCCACCAATTAAGTCACCAATGAACCAAGGAGCCAAGGAACCTAAGTATTTCAATATTTTACTATTTTCAGGGCAATCATACCTGCCAGAGAGATTTTTTACAGTCAATTACTTGAAATCAATGACAGACTATCATCCTCTTTCCTCATCGGGTCCACTTACTGTGCACTATATTATTTAGTTTGGTAATCATATAAGGTGTGACCTACCACAGCACATTGAAAATTAACTGTGACCTACATAGTTTGCATGATATAAAATACACCCTTTTTTTAACATGATTTTATTTTCCAAAGCTACTTAGGCCTGCAAATTTCATCATTTGACTATTGTCAGGTTTCACATTAGATTAATCAGTGAACATAGACTTGACATACCTAATGAATACCTCAAACCTGTTGTTTGTGGGGTTGAGACCACGTCACCAGGCCTCAATGAGGTGCCTTAGTTTTTTTTAGTTTGATCTTGCAAAATGCCCTGTTCATGGAGCCAGTTAACTGTGCTCTCCATACTACTGATTATTGAGTAAAAATCTCTGCATCGCATCGCAGTATCTACTGCTGCTGCTGATACTTCTGCTGACGTGCCTCTATCTACCCCAATGTGCATGCTGAAATTTAAAAAATGCGTGTGGGATAGTACCCATTGTTTCCTTTGTATCGCCTTTCTCATCTATGCGCCTATTGATCGGGTTTTTATTATTCTCTCGAAATCCATGTACGGTCCCCGAAGACTCAGGGAGGGTAGAAATCAGCATCTCCAAAGACCATCCCAACCATGGAAGTTGACCAAATTGGTCTGTAATCTTTATTGGGGCCAGTGAAGTAGATATCCAAGTTTTTACCCCAGATGAAAAATGAAAATGGCATAAGGATGGAGAGTGGTGGTAGGTTGGGGGGAGGGGGATTGTTAGAACTAGGGAATCCCCCTATGAACAATTTCTGTATCCACCATTGTATGCATGTTACCCCACCCATGCTCCCCATTCAGTGACACTGACAGGCATATTGACATATTTGGGGAGGGGGGGGGGAGGTTGAGTCTGGGTTGACCGTTGACCCCCCCCCCAAAATAAACCTCCCAATATGCTTGTGAGGTCATCATGCAGTGTTGTCGTTACAGTGTATTGTAAGACACCACCCCACATGGTAGGTCACACCTCATACCCAAGGAGCTGTGGTAGGTCACAGGCCATACAGTAGGTCGCACCTCATACAATTACTGTTTGGTTATATATAATAATAGTTTGGTTACTGTGGTGATATTAACACAACAACCCCTTGTGACAGTCCTCATTTTAATGTGTCATGAGGAATTGTAATTTATCATTTGTGTGAAGAATTCTGAACCTATCAGTATTTTGTTAAAGGTGCATCACCATGTAGGTGACCTACATGAATCACTGAAAGATGGGAGTGGGCATTTTTCTTGCAGTAATTTCTTGCAGTGGAGTAATTGAGTGAAATTGGGTTGAATTTTCCAATATTTATTTTAAAAACCATGATTTTTGGGAAGCAAGTAAGTCCTGTTTTCTTTTGGAAACTGCTTTCAGAAAAACTTTTGTTGATCCTCTTATGGAAGCTTTCCTGGAGAATTTGAGTTTGCTCTAGCATTGTCATATCAAAATGAAGTCATACTCCTTCCTGTCTGTAGGATTCTATAACAGACTCTCCTTTTGTCACAGTTTGGGCTCATTAGGTGGATCTGTATCATTATTTTATTGTCACTATTTCAGCTGATATTTGGTATGACCTGACATGAATAAAGAGTCGTGCAATCTGACCTTCAAGTTAGAAAAAAAAAAGGGAAATGAGAAGGGGAACTTGAAGGAGAGAGGTGAGGAGATTGAAGAGAAGTAGACTCATGGTCTCTTTTTGTGATTTTTCAATAATTGTGCATGGTTTTCTGCTTTAATTTTAGTCTGCAACTCACTGCAGATCTTCCTAAAGGATCGTCCCAAAAGTCTTAAGTATTACTTCAACACCAGTAGTTAGGGGCAGAGGAAAGTTCACATGCACATAACTTGATCTTACCTTATTCATAACCTGATGTTTCTGCTGATAAATTTATGCCAACTGCTTGCTAGGAACATAATTTCCATCTGCCACACTACCCTTGGCCGCAGCATTGAGGGAACTCTTGACAGCTGCATTGAGGTCTTCAATGCTTAAACTTGCTACTCCAAAGAGGTTGATTCATTTTGGGGAAGAGAAAGAAGTTGTGCAGTGGCAAATCAGATAGATAGCATAAATGTGGGAGGATTTCTAATTTTCACTCATGAGGAATGTTCTTACAGGATAAGCCACAAATCTTCACATCAAATAATAGTTATATATTTCCTCTAATAATTTATCATAGAATCAACTCAATCTCAATGAGATATGAAGACTCAGTAATTATTCACAAACTGTTTTTGATGTGTCCCCTTTCTTCTTGGCAGTAACCTGGAATCTTTGTGTCTGCTGGTCTATTGCACCAGATGGACATGGTTCCTCTCCTCTTCCAGTATCAGCCTTAATTGATACAGGCTGTTAGATTTCACTTCTGGACACTTACTTCCAGTGGACTTTATATACAGTAATCTATTGTATTACAGTGAGAGCTATAATATGTGTATGTTTTTATGACCCACTCGGTACACTTGGCTTGTGTGGGGAAGTAATGAATTCTCTAAGTAGCAATTGGTTACTATCCAGGAGTTGTGATAATTTCTTCTGAAGAGCAGGGTGTAGATAATAATACTGAATGTTTTTTTCTTAGGTGTACTGCTGATTGTGGTTACCTTCTGCTCTTGTTCATTATATTATGGCTTGTCACATGTTTTATCACCCCTGATGTGTGACATGTTTGAGATGATGACATGTTTGAGAAACATCAACAGGAGTGTTATGAAATACTTCAAAATTTTACAAAGATATATTTTAAGCAACATGCCATGTTTCTGAATTGCTTAAAAGGCTTTACTTGAGTTCTTTTTGCTTGGTGGCTAACACATCCATTACTGTCACATTTGCCTGAGCACTCCTATAATACTACTAATGGAGGATGGTGTAACTCCACATTTCTTTCTGTAAGGATAATGTCATCATGAACACATGCTGCAAGATTTCACTTCTGTCACATTACATCATTTTTATTGCATAGACCCAGTCTTTGATGAGGTAGATTCTGAGAGCAGGTGAAATGAAATATTTTGAAGACTTGAACTGGGGTTGGTGGGGGCACCTGGAGTACTTGGGAGATGATAATTCACCACTGAATGACATTCAGAGCCAGTAGGTCCCAGTAAGGGCTGTCACTATTCATCAGTTCCTGTCCCTTGGAGTGTCATTTCATTTGCGAGGATTTCAATGCCCTTCTGGGATAGGAAAGGGAGATAGTTAATATCATGTGGAGTTCACATTAGGGGTAGGTGTGGCATAGATCTTTGGCATTATAGGTGGAATGGTTCAGTTTTTCATTGAACCTGCTTGGTGATCATCATTAGTCCAAATATCTATAGTTCTGATTCTTCAAAAAAGAGAATCAGAATGTGAAAATTAGACTATATCTTCAGATGAAAGGAAAGAAGTGAAGAGACTAAATGGATCTCAGCTGTTCAATGCTGCTATTCCTAGGAAACAGTAGGATTGATCTTGTGTGGTATCCCATATGTGTGATATCTTTTTCTAAGTCGGAGTAGAAGGGACTTTTGGTTATGTTTCATCAATAAGGGGGACAAAATGGGGCCAAGCAGGATGTCATGATAGTGGTACAGATTAAGTATTTGACAGGATTGAGTGGATCCATTTTCAAATGATTTCTCTCATTACCCTGGACACCACTGAAAAATTGCTGAATTACTAGTAAATCCTTGTTACTTGACAAATTTTTCTTATATTTTCTGTAATTTTATAATCAAAGATATGAGGCCACCCATCCCTGAATAGAGTAAATTGCAGTAATTGATAGTGTATATTTTTATGATGAATCAAAGCCCTTCTATTTGTTTGAGTGCCACATTAGCCCATTTGAATGGGGTCTTTGTGGTATCTCCTTCCTCTAGCCATGAAATTTTCCTCCGATGCATTTTCTTTTCCTGAGGACTTTCTTCCTTACCAGTCATTTGCTTTTTTTTATTTTGAAATATGTGAGGAAATTTCTAAACTGTAGTGGTTTTGCCCTTTTTTTTTTCCCTTCAGACACTAACTTCACTGCCTTATTTAGATCCTTGAGACAACCTCCCTCCCTTCCCATTGGTTTGTTTACATCTCTTGTTTCTTCCTATCCTTTAAGTTGTACTTGATTTCCCAAGCAATTTGTCATGAAAATGAGTACAACTTGTGAAGTTTGCTTGAATGAAGTATGAAGTAAACCAAAATAACTTAGAAGAAAAGTGTATATTTGTGAAGTATCCAATGCCCCCACAACTCATTTTGACAGTGTAAACATGAAAAGTAAAGCTTGCAACAACTATTAGGCAGAGTGTTTGCAGTGATTATTTTTCCACATTATACCCCCCAATGCTTATTGAGGCTTCTTGTCTTGTTCATTCAAACAAACCCATGACCTTGAAACAACTTCACCTTAATGTTGCAGCTATTGTGCAGATCACCTTCTTGCATTCAGACAGTTGCAAAAATATAAGGGTGTTTCAAAAAGTAATGAGTCTATTGCTGTCTAAGCTGTCCATGTGAGCCTGTACTTAAGAAACTGTGTAATGTGCCCAAAGACTTATTCTTAAGACTTAAGATCTTATTCAGAATGTGCACCTTAGTTCAAGTAAATGTTGCTGGTGGTTCTAGTGGACCCTAAATCAACATGTTGAGTATGCACCAAGGAAGAACAATGATCTGTTGTATGTTTTCTGGGCAGAAGGTGTTTAACTAGTGGATATTCACTAAAATGAATGCTAGCCCAGTATTGTGAGAAGAGTATGACACTTCTAGGTTATGAGTGGATTAGAAAGGTTCTGAAATGGGCAAATGAGTGTTGTTGATGGCAGTTGATCCAGCTGTTTAAGCACAGCAGCACTCATTCATTCATATCAGAACCTTTCTATCTCCTCGTACACTTTCGTTGTCATACACTTCTCACCATACTGGAAGTTGGAGTGGAGGGGAGGTGTGTGTACAGCTCTTCTATTCCTTGTTCCTCACTTCATTCCTTGTCTTGTCCAATACTGTAGTGTTCACATATTTTTCGAAAGTATTCAAGCAAAATTAAAGATATACTTCATTGTGTTTTGTATGATATTTTTGACTGAGTGTGAATGATACATGATTCAGGTATCAGGAGCTGACAGATGGCGAGGAGGACATGAGCCGAAGCTCAGGTCGTGAAGACACAGGTGAATACACCATGGTACCCAGTGGAAACAGAAATGTAGATACTTGTAAAGAAGAAATTCCCTTGGCTGGGAATGCCCCAAGCCTGTTGGAATCAGGATCTGATTCTGACCTGGAATCTCTCAAAAGCTTCTCTGCCAGAACAGCTCCAGCTCCCAAAGCCGTTGATCTGCCGTCAGCCATTCGTCTTGCCAATCGTCTGTACCATCTTGATGGATTCAAGAAGACTGATGTCTTTCGTCATCTCTGCAAAAAGTAGATGCTTCTTTTTGTTACTCTCTCCCATTCATCAGAAGAAAGCCTGACTTTTCCCTGACCTCTTGTCTTCCAGCAATGACTTCTCAAGAACAGTTGCAGAGGAATATTGTTACCACTTTGACTTTAGTGGAGAGAATCTTGATGTTGCCTTGCGGAAGTTCCTCTTGCAACTCCCTCTCGAGGGAGAAACACAGGAGCGGGAGAGGGTTCTCTCCTACTTCGCTGACAGATACCTTCTGTGCAACCCTGGTTCCTTTGCCTCTTCTGGTATGCCACATAGTCCATTGAAATTGAAGGAATCCTCTTGACCTAGAATTTACCCTTTCACTTGGATGTCAATTCCTGTAGATGCAGTACATACATTGACTTGTGGACTCATGATCCTCAACACAGACCTTCACAGTCAGGTGGAGAGTCGGCACATGAGTTTGAATGTCTTCATTGAACATCTAAAAGGCCTGAATGATGGCGAAGACTTCCCTAGAGACCTCCTTGTTGCTTTATACCAGTCAGTGAAGAAGGAACCCTTCCGCACTCCTACGTGAGTATTCACTCTGTGCACATATCCTCAGAGAATTCATAACATATCAGCATCAGAGTCACCAAATGCAAATTGCTCAAAACTGTTATCTTCTGAATAGAGTGTGTGGAATTCTGGAAATACTGGAAATACAATTCCCATAGGTTAGTAACACAGCTATCAGCCATTGGGACATTGGCTTGGCATATTGAAAATGGCAGTCATGCTTATAAGGTATGCAGGTTTATTTGGTCTAGAGTACCAATAACTGGACTTCCTGAATATCAGTGAAAGAGGGAGCAAAATTCAACTTTTAAAGTGTTCAAACTTTCAACCTCAAAAACCATTTCATGATGAGATATTGACTTCATGCAAGTCAACATGTTTTTACTGTCTGTCATTGGAGACAGGTTTGGGATTTTATTCCAACTGCAGAGAGGTGGCTTTGGATAGATGAGGGCATATTGACCATGTTTGCTCCAAGTTGCTTTCATATCCTCTTTAATTCTGGTGTCCAGAATTCTGAACATTTTAATTTTAAATATTAATAACTACATTTTAATGGTATGGAAAATAAATTTTTTCATAAGTGCAAACATGTGAATGAAAGCAGACAAACCACTAATAATGAATTTCAAGAAATCCTTCCAAGTGGTGCAGCTGATATTTAAATAAAATGTTTTGTTCTGGAAAGTGCTTGGGACTGAAGTGGATATTTCCAGATTGGTACATTATTATTCCTTTGAATTCCACTCTTGTAACATGTTTCTCCAGGAACTGAAAAGGTATGCATGAGGCCAGGGGCAGATCCAGGGGGGGGCAGGGGGGGACAACCAACTATGGCCAGGATACCATTCTATTTTTTCTCATTTTTTTAAAAATAGCTTATACATTAATTTTTATTGGGGCCAGTGAAATAGATACTCAAGTTTTTACCTCAGACAAGAAATGAAAAAGGCGATAGAGCTGGGAGTGGTGGAAGGTGGGAGGGGAGGGGTCGATAGGAAGGAACTGCCCCACCTATGAAAAATTTCTGTATCCACCTCTGCACGAGGCTCTTCTTTATTTTGAAGTTCATTTGTTTACCAATGAAGGGCATGGTCTGATGTTTCCTCAGAAATTAAATTCTTATTTTGTTGAACAGACTCTTAGCTCACATACTTGACAATGCATGCAAAAATTGGCCAAATCTCTGTTGCTGATTTAAATAAAGAAAAATAATATCATTTCAGTTATATTTGACAAGTATTCATAAGTGAAATTGCTGTATGGCATTTGAATGGGGGAGACATATTGGCATGAACCTGGGGATTTTCCATCATAATTACTATTAGGAAATCTGCTCTGGGGTCCTTGGCTAGTTTCAAAATGAAATCCTGAAAAAATCCTTTTACTATACAGAAAATGCTGGAAATTAAAAAAGTCAACCATCCAGAAATGCATGATGTACCATGGTCCAAATTAATGACCACAATAACAAGATTCCTTCCGCTTTATATGTTCATTTAATGCACACATCATACACCAATAAATCACCAATACAGTGAAAACTTGTTAACTCGAATTCTGATAAGTCTAAATTCTGCTTATCTCGAAGTTCAATGCTTGGTCCCGGCGGAACCCCATAGGACACCATGTTAAATGCTCCTTTTAACTCGAATTTCCTGATATCTCAAATGAAATTTTCACTCCCGATGACGAATTTCTCACAGTTAACTCAAATTCAGGGTGAGGTGGGTAAAAATTCTTCTTGTGGGACTTTTTGATTTTTGAATTGGATGAATGACAACAAACACGTTCGGATGTTCTTTTGTTTCTTTTTTTTCTGCTTCTCCCTCCTCCCGCACAGACACCTGTGGAGGGGATTAAACCTGAGGATTAAAACCGAAAAGTTTCAACTATAAAAAGGAGCCTCCAACATTCGCTCTGTCTATCTATCGCTCTCACTCCGAGCCATTCTAGTCATATTCTACTTCCTTTACGCCATTTGTGTGGAATGAGCTCATTCAAGAGGAAATTGAAGACTGACGCTCGAAGAAAAGATGCACTTGATTCGGACTGTCGAAGAAGGCCAGCTGAAGAAGAAAGACATCGCAGAGAATTTCAGGATTCCTCCCTCTACTCTCTCTACCATTATACACAGTAAAGATAAGGTTTTGAGTGCACATGAGAAGCGCCTATTTACAGCAAGTTGCAAGACAATGAAGACAGCCAAGTGTGGACGTGGATGCAGCTCTCCTGAGTTCACACAGTGCCAGTCGACTTGTTCGAGGCAGTAGGGAAATTAGAGAACTTCCACTTCTCTATTGAGAGTTCTTTTACAAAGCAAATGAAGATCACTGATTACATGTCAGAAATGGATAAAACCAAAAGAGTCCTGGATGAAAGGCTTTGCAATAAGTGAGTTTTGCATATGGAGGTTAAAAAGCTTCACTCAAGATGAATAAAATCCAATTGCAATGGGAGGGTTGTCGCTCCGTGAAATCGGATTTTTGAAGGCGGAAAAATCGCCCTCTGGTTATGTCCTTTAAAGTGAGTTTTTTTGGGGGGGGGATTATTCCTGATACCTCAAAATGATTTGTCCGGTCCCTAAAAATTCAAGTTAACAAGTTTTCACTGTATATGTGCATAATTTGGAACTTTGGATGATCACTTATTGGGGTGTAGTTCAAACTTTAACCAACTTGAATCCTTCTTGTTTTGTTATTAGACACAATTTTATAGAAATGTCCATTTTGGTACTACTAATCATGTAGTCCTTGTAGTTGCTTGTTCAAGAATCTGTGCCTAGTTTCTGCTTGCAAATAAAGAAAGGAAGTTCTGAGGAACTACCAACATCTTCTCCAATTGACTTTTGTGAGAAAAATAAGAGAAACATGTGGTTTTTGAAGCAGTGCTGTCCCCTTTTTGAATTTCATTTTAATGATGGTGATGATGGGTCCTCTTGCATCTTTGACTCCAGAATGTCAAGCATTTTTCAACATATACTGTTGGTATGTGTCTTATTGTCCAACCCAGATTTGAATTGTAAAATTTGATAGCGATGGATAAAGTAGATTCAATCGTGGAAAGCAAACTGGATTTCAGTCTTGTTCTTCATGCAGTCTGTCATATACTGATTTCACCTTAATTCCTACCCTCATCTCTGTGCAGTTCTATCTCAAACCTAAAGGTGGGTATTTGCCATTTCTGCCTGCTTGCCACAATTCTATTTTTTGTTATGAGTAATAATGCCATTTTAACCCATGGAAACAACAAAAGTAGACATGATTTATAAATTTTATTTTGATTCTTGCTTTCATATCTGAGGAGAAAACTTGTTTATCTATACATGGTTTGTGGAATAGATGGTATCTACAATGAAGTTAGAACTAGAGTATTGTCATTAGTGCAATTAACAGGATGCCATCTCAGCCCCTGTAGACAAACTTGAGCAGTGCTTCATTCTAAATAACAAAGTGAAACTTATTTCAGTAAAGAGTTTTACTCTTTTCAGGTCGAATGTCTAATTTGATTAGTGATTGTGAGGCACTGAGATTTATGCATTATGAAATATCAGTGGTGTTTCATTTTGGCTTCTGCACTTCAAGCATTCTTGTCACCGGGCCTTGGATAGTTTACTCCACTCATCTTCAAGCTTTTTTTTCAGCTGCTGAGGGCCTTCTTTCTTATTTAAGTTACCAAAAATTTGTTTAGTTGAGGATTAAAGGCCATTTCGTTTCATTTCTTTACCCAGCTCAGTGTTTATAAAGGGAAGCAGCAATCATTTCCAGACACCTATATGTATTTCTGATAGGATGTGTCTAATTTCAGAGTGAGCCTGTGTTCTTGTTAGAGTAATGTTGCTTGCTATGGAATCTGTTACTGTAACATTGTCAGTCTTGTACTGTCAGGAGAGTTGCCTATCCATGAAGTCATTTACTTATGATGTGTATGCTTAATGCAGAGAGGATGAAGAGGAAGGAGGTAGACGGGGTGGGACAAAGAGAGAGGAGGAGAAAGAGGACTACAAGAGAACATTGGGTCCCAATCCATTCTTGGACATCCCTGACCCATCAAAAGCCCATGAATACAAGAGGGGGTTCATCATGCGCAAGGCCTGCATGGACCCTGATGGAAAGAAGAGTGAGTAGATGCCTTATCCTAGGACCCTCGTGTAATGCATGCAGTTACACATCTTGGTGTTGCAGCTCCAAGGGGAAAGCGAGGCTGGCACATGTGGTATGGTGTCCTTCGAGATTTGGTCCTCTATGTCTACAAAGATCAGTGCTCTGCTGTGAAAGAGCAACCTCGCACTTGTGTTCGACTGCATCATGCTCTTGCTGTACGGGCTTGTGACTACACCAAACGCCAGCATGTCCTTCGCCTCTTCACTGCAGACCAAGCTCAGTGTCTCATCCAAGCCAGGTGAGCTTACTTTCTAGTTGTGTGTTTCCTAGGCTTCTTTTTGCCTAATGAATCCCATAAGCATCACAAGGATATGTTTCGTTTTCAGTTAATGCAATAAAATGATCATCTTGATCTGAGTGAATATTAGTAACAATCTACTAGGGCCAGACAAATAAAAACAGCAATTAAATTAATATTAGCTGGGCATGCAGTGTTTATTGAAAATACTCTCCATGACTTATCTAAATATCATAATTCAATATCTTTGCATCTCTAACTTGAATATAATGAGGTAAGACACTCAGGGAAAAGTCTGTGTGTGATGTGAACTTGTCTACCTGAGCTTGGAGGAGTCAAATGGGTAATGATCTCATTAATCATTTCCATTTCTCATAGGTCTAGTAGCCTTCTAATCTCTATCCCAAACATCCTTGTAGCCTGAAGGAGTGATGGTTCATTCACTTCATCTCCTATAACCAAGCAGGAAAGCTCCAGCAATATATGCCCAACAATTGTTAGCAAGACTCATGAGTGAATGGGAGACACAATGAAAAATTTGAAGCTGAGAGAACCATATTAGTACTATATCAATGAACTCAAGTTAACACATTCAATGCCATGTGCGACTATAAAAAAAAGTGCTTTTTCAACCATTTAAAATAAATTTCCAGTTCAGTTGTGAGTGAAAATTGATATCTACTTTGCTTCTTCTGTCTCCTTTGTTTCCCAAATGTTTTGTAGTATTTGAGCTGCACCTGTTGAAGAATTTAAGAAATTGAGAACTATTTTGAAGGATGCATGAATACGTCATATGCCATCTTTGACTGAATGTGTTAAGGTATCCTTCATTGCTTTGACTGGATTACTGGTGGACTCTTCAGGGTTCCCCTGCAGTCACCTGGAATTAAATTGCTTGGCAGTTTGCATTCCACTCCATATCCCCTCTAAAGACTACATGACACCAGATGGCAGAAAGTGCCTCATTAAGAGGAAAGCAACACAAGAAGAAAGTCCATCTAGCCATAAAAGAAAGGACAGGTGTGACATTATTGATCTCATGTCTTTGTTTTAGTGCCTCACTGCACTGCAATGCAGAATCAATAGCCCCAAAATCTATGTAGACTTTCTTGATATCAGTTGCTGTCTTCTGCATTTTGTAAATTTTTTAAGACCCTATAAGTTGTTTGGCATTTCTTCTGTTCATCTTTCCATCAACTAATTTCTGGTTCACAAAAAAAAAGAAAAGGAATTATCAGGAATTGAGATGACACAATGACATTTTGATTGGTCAAAAATAAGAAGAAAGCATCCTGTTTCAGGATTTATAAAAGCAACTGCAGAAATGCTAGATTTGCCTATTTTTGCATAGCAGAAAACACCTAAATATTTGTATCAGGAAAGTTTTGAAGTCTTTATGTTGTTTGTGTGAAGAGCAACAGTTACTGAACTTCGATAAGAAAAATACACTTTTCCATGCATCAGGAGGCAGTGGTTTCAGCAGTACTCTACAGATAGATCTTATTTTTCTCCAAAATGCCTGCTTGTTACAGCAGCATTCTTATTTCAATGTCCTTCACCGTGCAATGTCATCATATCATATCTTATAAGAGAAAAGTCACTGCATTGAAAGGGTGTTTTTAAAAGAAGACTTAGGAAGTGAGAGACTCCACAGAACAGAGTCCACAATTTAATAGGAAACTCTTGCTATTTTCCTTTTCTGATACACATTTCACTTCCCTCTCCAGTACTTCTGCTCTGAACACACCATCAAATTCAGGCCTTAGCTTCTCACCTCAGGCCTAAAGACATCACACAATCAAGAATACAATGATATGGTCACAACATGAAAACAGCCTTCATGGCTCAAGGAACTAAATCTTTTGAGTGGTACTGAGGCTGTATCCACCTTTCATGTGAAAAACTAAAATTTTTTACTATGACTTACTGCTGCTTTTTATTGAAAAATGCAAGACTTTCAGGAAACAAATTTACAGTGTTATGCAGAATAATTACAATCCTGGAATTTCCAGTCAATTTCATGGGGTGTCAAACTGTTTATATATTTTTTCACTACTCAATATAGAAGAGGGCTGAAATGCTCTCTGCCTGACCACAAGAATTAGGAATTGAAGGGGCTTTATTTTGGAGAATGCAGTTGTTGAGGCTAACATCCCATGACTTTGTGGCATCAGGCCTGATTTTAGGGTAAAGCCAAATGTGACAGTTGCTCTCTGTTGTCTCAATCCATCAACTGCAACTTTTCTAATGCTGATATCAGAAAGATGGGTTGAATTTATCTGGTGTAATGGAGCTACTCATAAGCTCTTGAATGCTTGTGCACATTTCTCTTTTAGCACAGGCTTTTGTTAACAATTATGAGAGGACCCTACTTCAAACTTTACAATTTTTCTGTGCTCCTAGTTGTGAGATTGTGATTTAAGAAACTTGAGATTACTTGGTATTTAAAGAATTTTTTAAGTGAAGCATTTTGAAAATTTGGAAGTAAGAGTGTGAATTGCATAAAACTAACTTTAACATAATGGAGCTTTAAACCTCCTTTAGCGGCACTAAAGGAGGTATAAAGCTGCATTGCGCTAAAGTCAGTTACAGGCTTCCCTTGCTTTATGCGGTTTCGTTTTGCATAGATTCATGCTTGCACAATTTTTTTTTTACTACCAAAAATTCAGAAAGCACAGGGTGTGGTTTGAAGATACACAGTTTGAGTTTATTGAATTTCTGGTATTAAAAAAAAACCATGCAAGTGTGAGTCCATAGGGAAAAAAAAAAAACACATAAAGCAAGGGAAGCCTGTATATGCAGTACACCCCATTTCATTCTGTATGGTGTAGGCCAGCGGTTTCCAACCTATCAGTTGTGATCCACTCTGGGTCAATGTAGGGTTTGGTTTGAGTTGCCTAGGGCCTAGAATCCAGAACAAAAAATGCTTTGGCCTGAATGCAGGAACCTCATCTAGACAAGATAAAAGGGCCTCTTAGCTAAAGAGCTCTTTTAGCCTCATGGGAGTCCATGGATTTTTGAAGGACCATTTTCAGCATTCAGAGGAGGTTTCAGCATTCAAACCTTAGTTTTCATCATTTTTGTGGTTTTTTACTTATAGGTTCTTTTTTTTGGCTTGCAACTTCCCATATGGGTAGCTCTGTCTAAGAGGTTAAGAACCTCTGGTATTGGCCACCTGATTTTCCTTCACCCTTTCACCTTGTTCACTGATACTGTACTTATATTTTGCATGATGAATATTACTAGCCAAGTACATAGGAAGAGGTTCTTGAGTCAAACATGTTGATATTGCTATGGTAGTGATAATCGTGAGATGGAGTCATGGATAGAGGGAATAAACTGGGTGGCAGGAAGGTTGAGTTCCCCTCCATTGGCTTCACCTGTGTCATCCAAGATCAAGTTCCAACGCCCCCTATTCCCGTCATCCATCACCAAACTCAATGCTGTATGCTTTACTTCTATTACCTCTCCTCTGTTTTGTTTTCTATTGGATCAATCCCAGATAGCCCAATAGCCAAATTATAATGAAATATTAATTTTAGACCCATATTGTTTCCTGGTAGGTGGAGCAATTGAAGTCTGTGGATTTAAGACTGAGTGCCCTTCAAGAGGAATTGGCCACTCATTCCAAGGATTCTCCTCCAAGGGGAACCAAGTCCTTCATTCTTCATGCCTACAAAGACAAGTGCAATTTCCTCCAATTTGAGGTACAGACACTATTGCCTTTAATCAATTTGTCTATGTATGTGATCAGTCTTGCTATATGCTAAATCCACAGGGTAAAGGTAATGCAGGAATATTTGGACAATTGCATTCCTGACTTACCTGACATGACTTTACCTGACTTTACCTGACTTACCCCCCAAAAGTCACCTGACCTCAATTCAGTGGATTATTATGTATGGGAAAGAATGTGTCTGCACATGTTTACTGAGGCCATTCAGGATGAAAACCACCTCATTGAGTGTTTGTGAAGCTTGGCAACTCCTAGGTCCAGTCGAAATAAACAGAGCTATAGATCAGTTCAGAAGGCAAGTTGCAATGTTGCAATCAAGGTGGGAGTCACTTTGAAAATTGTGTGTGATTGCTGGAGATTTATTGTTCAAACTAAGGTAACCTTTTTTGACATGAAGCAGTGCTCTCCATACAGATGCACCTGTAACAGGTTTTTTTTTTTCTCATTCAGTAGTATTAATGGTTTCATTGGTAACTTTGAGGTTCAACATTTTTTTGAATCACCCTGTATATTTGATCAGCCAATAGGAACTATAGTAAAAGCATTTTCTACAGATGGCATCATGATGTAGAGATGCTCCTAACTGAACTGGCTGTGTAATGTACCCTTGCTTCATTTATGGAACTGTTTTTGCTTTCAGATTGAGCCATTAAGCTAGTAATTGTGTTTACTATGACCAGCAGTCATGGAGGTTAGACCTACAACTTTTTTGGGGGATTTTCCAGATCCAGAGATTCAACACATATTCCATGCTCCTTCATTTGAGATTGGATGCCTCCTTGGGAAACTTGCAAGACCATGAGCCTTCATCTGAAAGGTACAGGGATAGCTACAAGGCTGCCATCTTCCAGGGTTCTTCCTAACAAAATTGCAGAAAAAATCCAATATCATGCCCTCTTCTTCTATGACTCACAAGCAAACTGGTTGGTGATGGCTTTTTCATGACTTGGTATGACTGAGGCAGATGCTTGGGCTACCCTGCTTAGTCATTCCCATAAAGATCACTAACATTTCTTGAAATAGGGTTGCACCTAACAAGGAATGGGAAAGTCTTTGGAAAATATTTCATAAGTTTTTGAACATAGATAAATTGATGGGCATTTGACTGATTTTAGGCCTAGGTAACTACCTTGAAGTATAAGCATGGCTGCAAGTGACATGTCTCACTGCATGATGCTATAAGCATGAGGTTTGGAGTAGCAGCAAGCCTCACTTAGACCAAATTTCCTCATACTTTGTTCTCTGCTGATTACTCTGTTTTGACTTTGTATGGTATTTCTTATTGGGTGTTTCAAAAAACACTTTTGATTGGTAAAATATTTGCTGGTGTTCCTTGGAATGATTTAAAAGGAAGCATCAATAGACTCTTATGGACAATAAAAATATAATTGGGTAATACTTGGAACTATATGGAAGTCAACAATGTGAAATGGTTTCTTCAAGTGCAAGTTGAATGCCCCTTTTATTTACCTAATAATGCAGAATGCAAAAAGTTCATAATAGTTCAAAATAATGAGTGTTGAATTTGGAGGCCACCACAATGCATTGGTCATTCAGATTTTACTGTCTCCAGTATTTCCTAGGAACTCTATGGCTACTCTCTTGTGGCAGTCAAGCACAATGCAAATCAGGCCAGTGTAATGCAGCTTGGCCAAATAGTCTGCTGTTTCAATAACTGACACAATGAGCCAGTGATGCAGGTTGAACCCCCATTGGGAACTCTTCTAAAAGAAAACTCTACTGTTATCTGACTCTCCTTCACTTTCTGTAATAATATTTGTTGGTTTTTGAGACTCAAACATTTACACTTCCCTTCGTTATTGAGGCAACTCTTCAGTCCTGTGGGACAAATACTTTGCCCTTTTCTAATTGGAGTACTGATTTATAAAATGAGTCTTGATCAGTTGTATGATTATGATTATAATTATGATTATGAGTAATTGAGTAGTTGGTCCCTCATCCAATCTATCCATTGAGGTATTGAGAAGCAATGAAAAATTACTCGCAAAGAAGTATTGTGAAAATTGAAAGTTTCTTCTTCAGATCCTGGAGGTATCTCCTTAGATTCTTCTCCTACTACCTAACTGAAACACATTATCTTCTGATTGTTTTCTATTGTCTATGTCACACTGGGTTGCTCACCAATTGTCAGGCTTTCTAAATTCTTGCAGAAATAATAAGTGTTTGAAGCATTTCTCATAATGAGATAGAGATGTTGAATGAGATGTTTCCTCTCTCCTAGATTCTAGTGATTGGGACAAGTGGAGAGAATATGAAGGACCAGGATGAGTTCCTCAGCCATAGACACATGTGATATTTCCTCCTCTTATGGACTTTCAAGTACAGTACGAGTACCCTCCTGATCATCATATGCCACCTCATGGATTCCCCTTCCTTTTTTTTTTTATTCCTTGCATTTTTTTAAATCAGTTTTTTGTTTTGGCTTTGCAGAAGAGTGACTTAGATCACAATGAGTTTTAGAAGCAGACAAGTATAATATTGATTTTTGCTTGCATATCATGCTTTTGTCCAGGTTTTTCCATTGAACAGTTCTCATATTTGCCTGAGATTTGGTTTCACTTGTCCCCTTATTGTGAGAGATCAGTCTTGTTTCCTTGACCATTAGGATCTCTCTCCTGCAAGTCAGTCAAGTATCTGTGCCAGCTAATTGTGCAAAGATTTAGATATTCTTCATCTTTTTTGTGATCATGCCGTGATTTATGAGAATGTGGCCTGATGATATTTTTGTGGGTTCAAGTGAAGAGCTAAGTTGGATATTTCTAACGTTTTCATCATGTAGCCTTCCAAAGATTTTTGCACTGGTAGAAAGCTTATCAGATTCTCTCAGGCAGGAGCCAAAGCCATAATTGAAGGTACTATGAATCCAGAAATGATGCAAGAAAAATCTTTGCTCCCCTTTTTTTTTTCATTTGTTGTACACCTGATGTGGCAGGTATCTTTTTTTTCCATTGATGCAGTTTACCCTGTAATTTAACAGAACTGTAAAGCCACAAGCCTGTTTTTAATTATGAAACTTGATGGTAATTTGTGATTTATCAAAGGGGCATGATTAGATGGTGAAAGCAAGCATTTCATTAAAGCAGGATGATGTTATTTTTGCATAATTGAAACAAATGACTATACATTTTGTACCAATTACCAGCTTCCCATCTGTAGATCTGCTGTTGTTTGCCTTTTGATGTTGATGAATCTTTTTCGAAATTCCTGCTTGTCTTAGTTGTCCCATGAAGTGCTGGGCTGAAATGCACTCTGGCTCCTAGAAGTCTCCCATTATTGATAATGATAATAATCATTTAGCCTTTATGCATAATGAATTCAGTCTGGCAATGTGAAGAAATGGGCCAACTGCATGCATTTTCTTTTGACATGAGAGATGAGAAGATTTCTGGAAATTAATATTGATATTTGTTTAAGTAATACTGCATGGTAAGTAAGGCTGGTTTCATTAATTGGTCTTTAAGGAAGGCTCTTTATGTATCTTGGAAGTCTTTGATGTGAAGATGATCAATGTGCAGTGAGTACAATTAGTTTATTCGGGAATTACATCTGAAGCAGCTGTTGCATCATGTTAACTAAGAAAATGAACCATCTTTTCAATGAGTAGGTCTTCATCTCTAATATGAAAGGAAAACAGAAGAAGAGGGATGGTTACACTGATTCCTCAGAATTTTAGGTGTTTTTTTTTCATCCTCTGCTCAGGCTGGTGGATGGGGCCATTAAGGATATTGAGACATAGGAGAGGGAGGAATTGAATTTTCAGGATACTCATGTTTCTTGATAGATTATGCTATTTACATGCTCCCAAATATGAATAATCAAATCAATGTTTCTCTTCCTCTTTCTCATAATTCCATGACCTCATCTCAATGTTTCAGTTTCCTTTCCCTTTTTGTTTATAAATGAGGCTTCAAGTGCCTTATGTAGGCATGTTGGAAAATTTCTTAAATTTTCTTAATTTTCATCTTGTAACTATTTGCAACATCTACTGATATTGATTTTTCATGCAAAATTGGGAGAACATGAGCATATGCCATGAGATCTCTGCTTTCATTGCTTCTTCTCTCATGGAATCAAATTCCTCTGGGGACCCTCATATTTTCTTCTTCTCTAGGTGTGACTTCAAAGCTTATCTATATTTTTCTTCCATATTTGCATCCCAATCGACCCGAGAACTTGTTATCTTCAAATAGGATTTGACACAGATACATGTTACTTGCTGATGCTTCCCCACAGTCATAGAATCTGTTCTCTGCAGAAATATGCTTTAAAAGAATGTGTCAAAAATTATTGGAACTGAGGCAGTATTAATTGGTTAATCTCATGGATTTCTTGCGTAGTTCATTCCAAAGTGCTCATTTTTATGTTGTTTGTGGACCATGCCAGTTGCCAAGCCTGACAGAATGGAATCTGTGACGGGAACCTTTGTTTTTTGGTAAGGACGTTTGTTGTTGCCTTTTGTCTTGATCAATTTGGTGCTAATTAGGAAAGATGTCATGGATGTGATGCAGAGTGAGGAAGAATGTACATGTGTGCTTGTGCTCATGTGTGCAATGTGCCCAATGTGTATCATGAGAACAATCATCATAAGTGGATTGTGTCCTGTATATTCTGTGACGAGGCTCTGACTTGTCACGGTGAATAAAGCATGGATCCCAAGAGTGCATGGGACAGTCCTCTATTCATATGAGTTTCCACACTAAATTCAAGCGCCATTCAATTTGAGATGAAGAAATTTCAAAGTGAGTGGTATGGAGATGAACTGGAGACAGCAAGCTTTCAGTTTCTCCTGCAGACTTTAGTAGGGCTGGAGTATTAGTTCTTTCTCGTGTTTTGTTGGAAAACTCATAACTAATATTCCTTGTCAAAAATTGCTTTACAAAATTTTGCTATAGGTTATCCATAGTGTTAGGGCATGTAGTGTATCCTTTAGACAGATCAGGTATCATATGCTACATGCACTCCTCAACCTGTTACGTGCCAACTTCATGCCTTCCTTTGTCAAGGTATAGTTTTTTCATGAACGGTCCTATTGTTGGACTGTTGCTGGAATCACATCATTTGGAATACTTTTCTTCGCCAATATTAGCTACATTTGGTCAGATGTAGTCCCTATGGGGCTGGCCCCATAAATAGCGTTAGGAGGATCCGACGGATTTCCCTAGCCCATGATTGGAACGAGTCATTTTTAATGTGCACTTTACTGGTGTCTCCTGGACATGCATAGCAATTAGCCACAATGTAGCTTATGTCCTACGGTAAGTAAGTATTCCCTAGAAAGCTAGTGGGTCGCCACCAGAACTATAGGGTGGGCCAAAAAACGTTGGTTATCTTGATCACTCCACAGCAACACACTCCCCAAGAGTTTGCTAAAATTTCAATATCGCCTCTGAAATATTCATATAGCTTTCCAATGTCAACAGAACAAAGATTTGTGGCGTAATATTCCTGCAGTTAGTTAAAGAGTACAAGAGGTGGCGCTGGAAAAGTTGGTGCCATACTGCGATGGACTCTGCTGGATTCCATTATGAACATCGCACTCCATGACTCGCAAAAACGCTTGTGTCTTATGTGCTAGAGGTATTATTTTTTCATGCATTCGTATTTTAGGTCCAATGATGGCATAAATCGAGTTATTAATATTTTTGTGCCGAGCAATGTTGTACTGTCCATTTTCTCTGCCGTCTTCTGTTTCCTGACGCTCTAGCATGACTTTAAGAAGTCTGTTTTCTTGTTGAAAAGCAGAAATTGTAAGGAATTGATACGTATTAATGTCTAACTCCTTGTCTTTATGAATGGATAATGCAAATGAAGATAATTTATGGGTAATAATCCGCATCTTGTTGGATATCAGAATTCGAGTGCGATACCAATTTAAGGTTGGACATTCATGTGAGATGTAAGGAGTTACCCGTTCAGAAATTATTCGAAGCCGCCCTAGTTACCACACCTCCCCCCCCCTCCACCACCACCAACCATCGCCCTTCGTCCTCTCAGCTTTCTCATCCTCGATAAAAACCTGCGCATCCATTTCGCCGACCCCAAACAAAATTAATTAGTGATTTTTTAACATTAAAAACAGACGGTGAACCTGGTCATAGCCCAACCGAATTCGTTGCGAGTTTTCTCATCGTATCATCACTAGGGTTACCACCTTTGAAACTAGCAAAATATGAAGATACGGTCTGTGAAGATATGGAAATAGGAACAAATATATGAAGTATACTTGCGTTTGTGACAGCTGCAAATATCTGTAGTTTTTATATATAGTTTATATATAGTATCTTTAGTCGAAGTTCCAATCGTTGCGATAAGAGTGTGGCATACTTCTCTGACTCGATGAAAAGAGTGGTTTTAGCTGCAATTAAGTTTTATTAACTAAAAATTCTTAAGTTTAAAGAATGGATGAAGCAGTGTCCGCCATTAAGACAAGTTTGCAGTATGGGACATTGGATCTGAAATATGAACTGTCCATACTAATTATGAACGGTTGGCAACCCTAATCACGGCGGTAGGACCTGGGACACCACGGCCAATCACTGGGATTCACCCTTGCAGTGTGGACGCGCGAACCATCGAGGACTATTCCTTAGTTTATATTTCGCATAGAATTCATTCGGGGTCCTATAAAATTTCTATGTTCAGAGATCCGATAAGGATTCAATAAGATTTTTTCATAAGGATTGCCCCATGCTGTACCCTTCCGTCCTAAAGGGCTGTCCCCTTGGTAGAAGTAGCCGAGTGAGGGAAACATTTTTGGACGGGGGCATGCTTCTAAAAGGCAGGCTAATACGTATGTAAAGTACGTATGATGGTGCTTCTTCACTAAAATCCTGTTCACGAATAATAAAATCGAGGAGGTAAAGGAATTGCCAATGCAATTCGGTCTTATTGCAATAGTAACTCACGTAGAAAATAAACTTTGAGGAAAACTTTTCTACTAAAACTGGGGAAGGTCCTGGCGCTCCAGACGAAGGATGCGTTGGGTGTTCAACAACACTGGGTACTTGGACATCCTTGTGGCGTTGGCGACAGGCGGGCTGCTGCATGTGGTCATGGAAATTCCAACCTCTTACAACGATAGCCGAGATAGTAAGTGCTCGACTTTCTGTTTGTTACATTGTAGCGATAACGCTACAGGTTGTGACCGACATGATGGGTTAAAACCGACAACAGAGAGGTTGGGAGTTCAATTTATACCTCAGGTGCGGTGTCATTGGAGAAATATCCAAGCACGACAAAGCGTTTCATCTCTTCTTTTGTTCTCGGCGACCTCCGAGTATTGACTCCTCGACAGTTCCTTCGGACTACCACGACGGAGAAAGTGCCAGCCTTTTCTTACGAACATAAGAAAATGTGGGCAAGTGCATATGCTTTATTTTACAACAACCTGGCAAATATATCTGCAGGGAAGGGGACAGAGGAAAGTTGCCTCACGTTGACCGGGATCTCAATGGCGGCTCCTCACTCCTGGATTATGTCGACGAAAAATACTCTCAGACGATTCACTGGGGTTCGCGCGACTCCGAACACTACTTAACGCGACTCCCGAACGGGACGACGACTCTGTTCCGTCCGCCGAACTGCACACTGCTCACTCTGGAGACTGCAGACTAAGTCTATAGTCGCAACGTCAGCATAGAGTTGGGGGAGGTTCTTCCCACCCAAATTCATTGCGTCTCCTTCTCAGTCCAACTGAGAGTCCACAACTCATATAACCTAATTTTGATTTTAAACGTTTTGTTCAACATTAAAAAAAGATAGAAGCAGCCCTTATACATATTTTTTTTTAACTTGAAGGAAAGATTCCGTATGTGAGTTAAGGATCCTTACAGAACGGAGTTTGAGCTTTAATTTCATACCAAATAGCCCAGAAAATGACTCTTTTTCAGAAATGGGACTTAGCAATAATACGGCTGAAAGTTAAATAATTACGTTTAGAAGATTCCGTATCGAAATATCTACGTACAGGCCAGCGAATACATTTTTCTCATTTCAACGTGTATTCCATGTATAAATTCTGCGTATATTCCACGATTCTTGGTCGATATACATGTACAGTCAACCCTCGATACACCGCCACCCTCGCTTATCGCCTCCCCATTCCTACGAACAAGTCTTCCCTCATAAGCTTATCATAGGCGATCCCCCGTTATTGCGCCACCTTTACTAACCGCCATCCGCCAATACCATCATTTGTATAAACATGCTTTTCCCCTTCATAAATCCTCTTCGACTTTGCGCCAAGAAGATGCGCCTAGATCCAAATCGTTTTTGTAGACCAGAAGCAGAAGCGGTCCCAGGACCGAGTCCCGAGGGACTCCGCTTGCGACACCGACTTCGGTCGACGCTTCCCCATTTACCATTACTCCTTGCTACTGTTCCTGTCGACTAGCTACAGATCCACTCGCTGGTCCTACCCCGGATCCCGTGCGCCTCCAGTTTAACCCGCAACCTCTCGCGAGGAACGGTATCGAAAGCTTTCGCGAAATCTAAATAGACGATGTCCACGGGATTCCCCTCGTCCCTCTCTTCCGTCGCCCGGTCGCAGAATTCGAGCAAATCGGTGAGACGATTTCGACGCCTCCTAAAGCCGTGTCGAGAGTCCCGAACGACCGCGTTTCCTTCGAGGAAATCCAAGGGATGGTCCCTCGGTATGCTCTCCGTGATCTTCCCTGGGATGCTCGTGAGACTTACCGGCCTGTAATTTCCCGGATGACTCTTTTCGCCCTTCTTAAAGATCGGTACGACGTTCGCTCGTCTCCGGTCCTTAGGTACTTCCCCGCGCGAAAATCTGCTTTCGAATGCGATTCTTAGCGGAACCGATATCTCTCTCGCGGTTTCCTTCGCGACTCTCTCGGGAATCCCATCGGGGCCGGTCGCCTTGCCCACCGCGTAACTTCCCTATCGTATCCGCGATCGTCTCCTCGGTGATGGAAATATCCTCGATGCGCGCCGAGGTCA